CAACAAAATTTTCAATTTGCTGCAGAGATCATTACACATCATTAGCAATGGGGTCATTTGAGTGAAATGAACCGGAATGGAAGCTGCGTCTAACCTAGGGAATTTAAAGGTATTTTTAAACAAAATAAAAATGTTCCTTATTCAAAACATCGTCATAAACATCACTAAGTAATAGGTCTATGCAGTAACTTTGAAAATAACGCTTTGCATTGCCGGTGGTCTTCATCCAGTACATGAACCGGATTATCTGTTTCTGAGTCAATTTATTACGACGTTGATGCAGGATTTATCTGAGTGCCATCTAAGTCACAGTTCATTGGATGGTGCCCTGCAAGATGGCTCTCAAGAAGCCTCTGGATGTGACACTTGCTTCCTCCCCCTTCCCAAACTAATGCAACTTGCGGTCGGAATGGTTCTTAGTCGTTTTTCTCACATAGTGGTTAATTTGTTTATACAGTGTATGGAATTAGCAAAACACTTTAACATTAACATCTTCGTTTCGTTGATGCCGTCGGCGTTCACTTCCGCATGTTCAGTTTGCAGTTCAAAATGAGAATTTAAACGGATTTGCAGATTAGATCGTATCTTTAGTTCAGGTAGCTTGTTAAAGCATCGGTGTAAATTCTGCTGGGTCTGCCGCAACACCTGAAGGATTTTAGAACTACAAAATTTGTAATCAATGTAATCTCAAGATACGGAACATTTACTGACAAGTCTTAGCGAAAATCAGAAATTTACCAAGGAAATAATGTATAAGGAAGATGTCAAAGGATAAGATATCAAAACAAAATGGTGCAAAACACTCTGAAGATAGGCAGAAACTATACAAGTACAGTCAGGTAACCGTTGATAGACTAGTCCACTCTATTCGCCAGGTTTCCACGGTCATAAATTTATGTATTCTTCATAAAACTTAGCTTCCATCAGTACGCTTTCGATCATTACTTATGATGACCCAGAATTTTTCGACGCGGTACCCAAAAATTATGCCATCTTATAGAGTAGCAGCATGAAATGAATTTTCTGAGTCGGCGGTATGGTCGCCGAAGAAACCAGTAACAGAAACGGTAAAGTAGGTTGCGACGGCAATAACCCTCGCATAGATCTTCTGGAAACTTCTTCGGCGGTACGAAAGTCTACCTCACTGCAAGTCAAGAAGGTTGCACGCCCGACGTTCATGTCATTTGCAGCTCGCTCATTTGTAGACTCAGTGGAAACTGATTGGCATATGTTGTGTTACTTTGCTCCCGACTGCAGTGTCTAATCGAACACTTTCGTCTGTTTGTTTCTATCTATGTACCTTTGCTGCAAAAGCGTTTAGCTGATACGAAGATCTATGCGTATAGATCTATGCTAGATCTATCCTACAATCCTAGCATAAGCCAATAGACAGTTACAAATTACAAAATGACACCGTCACCTTGTCTTTAATGAACTGGGACCACTCATGAAATTTTCAAGGACCACTCAAGGAATGGGACTCCTCGGAATTTTAGCAGTTGCAATATATGAGCGCATTTCACAATTTTCACTGGCTAGGGTAACACCTTATTCACTATAAATAATGTCCTAGCAGCCGATGTGCCACATACGCTCTTCCGCCAGAACATCAAAACAGTATGCTCAAAATATAGTGGATAGAACCGCTCCTATGTAGCTTTGTAATGGCGTTCTAAAAACTAGTACAAAAGCAAAACAGGAAAGGGAGAACTACAGAATGAAAGCAACTTTTCGATCATGGAATTCACATGTTATCTATGCTAAGCACAGATATGGCTGCACAGCGAAATTTTCACCAGATAAAGAAAGTGAACAGCAAGCAATGGGTCAGCATACAATCAACCAGCTACAAAATCTGATGTCTCTTCGGATAAATATTAACTGAATTACAGTCAAAAATGACGTATATTGATGAACAGGAAATTACCAGCAGCTTTAAAGGACGAGAGCAGATATTGCTTAGATCGCTGCGAAAGCATTTAAAGCGAACGGGCTTATGAAACATCATCTGCATTGTTCTAGCCATGGGAAATGCGGTGTATCCCAATGCACTGAACGCGTTAAAATAACATGCAGTTTGGCCTGCTCAAACAACTAATTAGTTTAAACCCACAGAGTCGAACTAATCATGTAGTCAGAAGTGATAAATCTGTCAATCTATGCATTTTCGACTAGAAACAGCGAAGCTGATATATCTCTAAACAGCAATTCAGGAAAGGAACAAGAGCATTAGCCATTTTTCTCTCCATTAAAACGCCAAGTACGAAAAGTGCCATCTGTTCCAATTAAAGATTCCAATGTTGCATACCAGTTTTTTGCACGGGCTCCTAAACGACAGATTTTTTCTAACTTTACTCGCACAGTCTCTAAAAAAGTACCATCATTATCAAACATAAATCTGCACGAACATACCGTCATCGATTTTGAAGTCCATCCCATGACGATTGAGTAACAAATGCAGAAGCTTTGATTTCGTAAAGAATGCAGAAGATGGAGCGCTCTGGAGTGCTAGCAACAAATCTTCAGTAGGCTTCTTTTGATAGGGCTAAAAGCAAATGAAGTAGAAGTGATTTGGGAAAAATCACTAAGCATTTACTTCAATGTCAAAATCTTGGTCAAAAATCAGCATACATTCACTCTCTCGTAAGTTTGACAGGCTAGAGATATCACTAATGCCTTCTGCCTCCTTTAGCGATTCAACCTTAAACGATAATTCTGCGTTCTGCGGGACGAAGTCCAAATGTTCCCAGCATCCAGCAGAGAGCAAGTTCTACAAAATGAAGGAACAACAGATATAACCATATCAAACAAATAAAAATGAATTTCGAAAGCGAAAGCTAGAAAGCAGAAAAATGTGGCAGTCAGAAGACAGCAAAGGGCTAACAGGAATTACATCGAATATAGTGGGATATGCTTAATTAGGAATGTTCCATGAAGATGGCACCAAAATTGGCGCCTTTCGATAAAATTAACAATCGGGGCACCATGACCATCATGATCGCGGCTCTTTCTTTCAACATAAGAAGCTATTTAAGGAGGCGATGCTCAATAGTATCTTAGCACGTGCAGTGCGAAAACGCATCTTGAATAATTCATTCGGTTAGAACAACGCCTTGTTGGTAATCGAATACGTTTCATGAGTCGGCACTCGTTCTATGACAGCGTGGTGGCGCAATGTCTAAGAGGTCGGTTTCGGGTTTGATTCTGCTCGAGGGCAGTCTTCGTCTTATTTACGAATTCCCTTGAGCAAAGAATTTATCACATATTGCTTCAAACCGGGGTTGGTCAGTCAATGGAGTATCGAACGCAGAATCCATAGGTCTCGAGTTCAAGCCCCGGCTTGGATTACTCGCTCTTTTCCTTCCGAGGTTGATAAACGAGTACCCCTATGTGGAGAGGAAGAAAGAGACTACACGCTACGGCTACCATAGGATGAAGACTCCGCATCAAAAAAATTAAGCACTCCTGGTCGAAGGCACAGAAACAGAGAACAGCAGCGAAACACCAACTTTATGAAAAGAAGGGCATGAAAAGAGTCCAAGCATGAAAGTGAAAAAAACCGACACCGCAACGGTGGCAAACTATCCTTTTCCTATAGCTAAAGAGTACGGCCGTACGCCAAGAGTGCGATAGCAAACTAGCTTACTTAAATTTGGTTACACGGAAGAACAACGCTAAATAATTGTTCCTATAAGTCCAGGTACGATTTAAGCAGGACATGTCGCCATATATTTAAACACATACAGGGCAAAAATGCGTCTTGCACAAATTTGTAGCTACTGCTTCATCACTGATGCTTCACAAGCAGATAATACATGGCTTTGCAGCAATATCAGGAATGGGGTTTCACATTCTGGAAATACGTTAATAGAATATTTTTGTCAAATTGAATTACAACGCAGCTACTGCACGTCGTTTACTTTAATTAGGTGTTAAAAAAAGACTTGATCCCTTGAGGACACTGCATAAAGAACCAACCTGCACTCGTCCAAGTCGTACTCGCACATTATTACACCTTCCGTTTTTCATATCCACTAACAGATCCAGGATACTCGCGAAATGTTCACCAACAACAAGAGGCTCAGTTAAGAGCACGCAATATGTTGGACGACCGGCTAGCTGCCATCGCCGAGCTACAAACAGCAGATCTCTCTAAACAGGAAGAATAAACTGTTAAAAACAATCTAACGTTAATCAACGTTGCCATAAACACAACTTAGTTCATACCTTAATATCATCAATAAGAACTGCCGGATCACTTGAAAGATAAAAATCGCTGACATCGAACAGCAGAGGGTAACACAAAACAGTCTCACCCAGAACTCGATATATCTAAATCAGACTGTACACAAACATGGTCGCCAGAAACTCATGCTCACCTTGCTTGTCCCCAAAGCACCAATGGGACGTGGCGGTCGACCCGTCAACCCCAGCCTGCTGTTATTTCCAAGGCCTTCAAAAACTTTAACCAACTGACTTGAAGGCCAAATCTGTACGGGTTCAACCTGACGCGGTGTCTGACAAGTTATTCCATATGTGGAAAGAAGAGCTTGTAACTTTTGGCTTTCAGCAATAAGTGCAACCTGCAGAACCGGGTTGCAGACACTGCCCTAAATCAGTGCAAATTGATTTCGTATTTACATTTTACCATATAGTCAACACAATAAAAGTTCTTTACTCGGGACGTGCGTGACAGCGTTTCGGAACGATTCCTATTCACGAACAGGAGAAAAATGCAGACTTAACTTCCAAGTATTCTTAATAACACACCATAACATTTTGGACCAAACTCGGTCCCCTCACAGTTACGTTTCCCGTTATTTCCACATAGGTTGGGTTGAATCGAGTAACTGCTCCCGGTCACGCCTGTTATTGGTCCTAAGCGACCCATCGACGTCACTGGTCCACGTATCGCAGACAACTGTCCACAGGTCATTAACGCAGCTTATCATTTAGATCAATAATGCTTTCTAACTTCAGCCGGTAAAATACGCTTGTTCTGATTCGATATGGTGTGGTGCGCTGACGTTCACATCGTGTAGTAAAATAGCGGACTCGTTTCATATTCTGCTTTTGTAACCGAAAAATCTATTGCTTGTCTACGTCCTCGGCTTACTTGCTGGAAACGTTTCTCTCTGGCACGTTTCAGCGCTTGTTGTAATCACAGGAACATATCGCATTTTAAGGTTAGACCTCGTTTTGTCACATTCAACAATCAAATTGTCACATTCACAATCCATATGCAGCGAGGAGCAGCAAGATTCCAGATATAATGACAATCATAACTCCGCCGTTGCCGGTCCCATGCCCGGATGAGAAAGCAGATGGGCTGGAAACCGTGGCAGGTCTTCGTAAAATTTAGCCACCTGTCACTCATGGTATTTACGCCATCGAAAATTATACCGGCTCGATCGTCGCCCGGGTTACCAAGGGCCGCGCAAGCTGTTGGGAGATTGAGGGAGACTGCGAAAAGTCGGCGACCAGAACCTGCTCATCGCCGTCTGCTAGCCGAGGCCGTAGCAGCACAACAACGGCTGACGAAGACCGACGGAACGACGACGAAGATACCAGTCAGCAACGGAGTCGTTTGGAACCCGTTCTGAACGGAGGAGGCAGACAGCGCCATACCATTAGAGCATGTTAGAAAAGGCTCCACAAGAACGACACCGCCAGTGGGAACTTAAGAGTCGGAAATTGGAACATATCCTCACTCAGAGGAAAATAACAAGAGTTAGATGATGAGGCCTTAAAGTACCAACTCGACAATGTTGGGCTCTCTTCAACGAAGCGCCAAGGCTTTGGAATTCTGAACCTTAGAGGGCAGAAGCTATTCTACTCAGGTGTCCGTATCATGACGCGCGTTCAGACCGGTGTTGGTGTTCTGGTACAACCCAACCTTGCAGATAGAATCACTGATTGGAAACCCGTCAGCGGAAGAATTCTCCGACTGAAACGACAACAGGCTAAGGGGTTGACCTTCTTACAGGTTCAGGCGCCCAATTTAGAGGGAACATGAGTCCTTCCTTAGGGAAGTGCAGTGTGTCTGTCCAAATACTCCGAATACAGAGTACCTTGTACTGATGGACGATTTCAATGTGCATGTAGAAGACACTGAAAAACGGAAAGGCGTGACTGGAAAGAACGGTCATTGGACCTCAACAACAACGACATGAAGTTCCTACAGTTTTGTGCAAACAAAGAACAGTCCATTATGGACACATTTTTCAAGCATCCAAGCGTGCATCAGTATGCTTGATATAGGGAAATTGTGGACAGAAATCAATGATCGATTTGATAATTGTATCTGCTCCGTAATGGATGTATGCATTAAGAGAGGACAGGGTTGTCAACTGATCACCATCATGTTGGCACGCTAAGCTGTGAGAAAAGGAGTACCATGCGACAATCTGGTGGCAAAAGCAACCACAGAATCACACAGGAAACTTTATGATCAGCGGACATGGCAGCGAAATTTGCAAACAACATCGAAAGAGGAATCCCGGTTATGAACACTGATGTGGAAACCGAGTAGCAGCTCATTAAGAGCGGCATACTAGAGGCTGCCGCCGAATGCTGCACATTCTAAGGGGCTGGCCTGCCAGCTGGAAGTCAGAAAAGCACTTCCTGGAGGCAGTTAAACAGAAGAAGCCTGCATTCAAATGCTGGCTTGGAAGCAAAGAGCCTTCTACTCGCATACTCTATGTCGAAGCGCTTAAAGCGGCGGCGAAAGCAGTATCAAAAGCCAAATCTGATTCCTGGGAAAACTATGGTGAGGTGTTGGAGTCGAATTTCCACACGGCAAACAA